GAGCTATCCAGAATCCACATGAAAAAAAAAGTGAAAAAGGTACAACTGAACGTAACAACAGAAGAATAAGCCTGCAACACAGTGTGGAATGGGATGGTGTTGTGGTTTGTGGGTTAAGCCTTCAGCTATGACGCTGGCGTCCCACATAGGCGCTGGCTCCAGTCCCGGCTGCTGCACTTCCCAACCAGCTCCCTGCTGACGTGCCTGGGAAAGCAGGGGAGCATGGGCCAAGTGCTGGGCCTGCACCCTCTTGGGAGACCTGGGTGGAGCTCCTGGCTCCTGGCTCCTGGCTTCGGATCAGCTCACTCCGGCTGTTGCGGCCATTTGGGGAGTGGGCCAGCAGATGGAAAGCTTTCTGTCTGACTCTTCTTTAAAAAAAGAAAAGAGAAAGGTGGGGGTGGCGGGGAGAGAGGGAGGGAGACGTAAACAAACAAACAAAACAGAAGCAATGGAAATCGTTCTGTCCCTGGGTTGGGAGGTGCCTACCCCAGGCGGCCGGGGTCGGCCAGCTGCAGAGCTGGTGTGGAGCCCCAGTTCTCTCCGCAGCACCCAGCACGGGGCAGCACCTACCCCTGGGAGCCCTTTCTGGGGTCTCCGCAGCTCTGCGCACCCGGCACGGGGCAGCACCTACCCCTGGGAGCCCTTTCTGGGGTCTCCCCAGCTCTGCGCACCCGGCACGGGGCAGCACCTACCCCTGGGAGCCCTTTCTGGGGTCTCCGCAGCTCTCTGTGCACCCGGCACGGGGCAGCACCTACCCCTGGGAGCCCTTTCTGGGGTCTCCCCAGCTCTGCGCACCCGGCACGGGGCAGCACTTACCCCTGGGAGCCTCCTGCCCCTTCCCTGAGGCTGTGCCCGTGGCCTCAGAGCGCTCACCAGAGCCTGTGGGATGGATGGAGAGGGTCCTCACCCCGTCCCCTTGTCTGCCGTGTGCACACACGTGGGTATCTGCAGTGCACCCTGTGTGCACACCTGAGTGTACACGTTCCCACACGTGCTTGTGCGTTTGCACACCCCTCCATGTATGTGTGTTCACACATCTCCAGGTGTGCAGCAGCCACACAGGCACAGCCATGCACTCATACACGGCCACGGTGTGCACCCGTTGCCTGCCACCCTGATGGCTCTGCGCACCTCCTAAGGGCAGGCGTGTGGACGGCTCGTCCACTGTGCGACAGGCCGCGAGAGGCTGGTGTGAAGGCGGGGTTGTTGCTGTTCCTGGTCTGGAGGCCTGAGTTTGAAGGTCACGGTGCGCGATGGGGTAGCCCCATGGATGGTCTAGGGCAACGCTGGGGAGCAGAGCCAAGGGCTCTCAGCTTTCATACCCGCCCTTCCTGACACCCAGGACCTCCCACTGGGCCCCGAGTCCCATCAGCTGTAACTGGGATTTAGCTGTCTGTTCCTCAGGACTGTGGGCTGAGCTGGTCGGGGACGTTGGGGCGTTGGGGTCTGCTTCCTCGCTCTTAGGGGCTGCGGCAGGGTTCTGTGTAGCTGTGTCCAGGTGGCCATGTCCTTCCACACTGCCCAGCAGGAGGCAGGTGGGCCGGGCCAGGGCTGCCCGGGGTGGGGTAGGTGAGAGGCAGCCCCAGGCCCCTGTGTTGCTCTCCAGGGTGTCTCCGGCTGTCCTGGTGTTCTGTGCCCGTTTTCCAAGTGAAACTAGAAGAGCGCATTGCTCAGGAATCTCGACGAGGCGCTGACAAGACGGGGCAGACCCTGCACCAGGCAGGCCGCGTCCGCGCTGCCAAGGGCGGGGCAGTTCCTGAGGGCGGCCAGACCCTGGGCCCCAGCTTGCTGAGAGGAGTGAGGTGGGCGGGGGTTGTCTGGTCTACCCCCCGACCCCGCTCCCTGACGTCTCCAGGCTGGTCAGGAGGGGGGGTTCCCACTGTTGGCCCCTCCTGGCTATCCATGGAAGGGTCCCTTGCTGTCCACTGCTGCTCCCTCAGAGCTTGCTCCCTGCTGGGACAGCAACATGGACACCCAAGGGGCACCTCCGGGGCCTGAAGGCCAAGGCGACGTCCTGCCCAGGAGGCACAGGGTCCCCATGTCCCCACATGCAGGTCACAGTGCCGATGGGGTAGCCCATGGATGGGGTTACACATGCAGAAGCTGCTATGGGGGTCCGTGTGTCCTGTGTGCCCCCGTCAGTGGGTTCCTCATGTCAGGCACCATGAGCCCACCACACGGGGACACCTGGTGGCTACTCCAGGAGTGACCGAGTATCCAGAGCCTGCAGGGAGAGGGGTCCCGTTAATCACATTCATGCCAGTGTGTTTGGGGCATGTCTGAGACTGCCCAGCACTGGGACAGCTGGACACAGGGGTGAGGAGAGAGCTGTGGATAATATACAGGTGTGTGAGGACACAGCTGTGGACAGCACCCGGGGGAGCTCTGCCCTTTGCAGGTTCCTGGCTGCTCCAGGCGCGGCTGTGACACCCACACCCCTCTCCCCAAGGCCTGGAGTGACGCCACGGGTGACCGTGTCAGGATCTGCTGCAGGATGGCGAAGTGCAGTATAAGCACGCCTGTGGGCACATGTAGAGCTGTGTGTGAGCAGGACTGTGTGTGAGGGTCACGTGTGGGCACATGTAGAGCTGTGTGTGTCAGGACTGTGAGAGGGTCACGTGTCGGCACATGTAGAGCTGTGTGTGAGCAGGACTGTGTGTGAGGGTCACGTGTGGGCACATGTAGAGCTGTGTGTGAGCAGGACTGTGTGTGAGGGTCACGTGTCGGCACATGTAGAGCTGTGTGTCAGGAGTGTGTGAGGGTCACGTGTGGGCACATGTAGAGCTGTGTGTGAGCAGGACTGTGTGTGAGGGTCACGTGTGGGCACATGTAGAGCTGTGTGTCAGGACTGTGTGTGAGGGTCACGTGTGGGCACATGTAGAGCTGTGTGTGAGCAGGACTGTGTGTGAGGGTCACGTGTCGGCACATGTAGAGCTGTGTGTCAGGACTGTGTGTGAGGGTCACGTGTGGGCACATGTAGAGCTGTGTGTGAGCAGGACTGTGTGTGAGGGTCACGTGTGGGCACATGTAGAGCTGTGTGTGTCAGGACTGTGTGAGGGTCACATGTCGGCACATGTAGAGCTGTGTGTGTCAGGACTGTGTGTGAGGGTCACGTGTGGGCACATGTAGAGCTGTGTGTCAGGACTGTGTGTGAGGGTCACGTGTGGGCACATGTAGAGCTGTGTGTGTCAGGACTGTGTGTGTGAGGGTCACGTGTGGGCACATGTAGAGCTGTGTGTGTCAGGACTGTGTGTGTGAGGGTCACGTGTCGGCACATGTAGATCTGTGTGTCAGGACTGTGTGTGAGGGTCACGTGTCGGCACATGTAGATCTGTGTGTCAGGACTGTGTGTGAGGGTCACGTGTGGGCACATGTAGAGCTGTGTGTCAGGACTGTGTGTGAGGGTCACGTGTGGGCACATGTAGAGCTGTGTGTGAGCAGGACTGTGTGTGAGGGTCACGTGTGGGCACATGTAGAGCTGTGTGTCAGGAGTGTGTGTGTGAGGGTCACGTGTGGGCACATGTAGAGCTGTGTGTGTCAGGACTGTGTGAGGGTCACGTGTGTTGAGGGGCACAGTTAACATCGTGTGTGGGTGATTGGAATCACACCTGTGATGGTCACGTGTATGTGAAGTGGGGTGTGGGCCGTGGATTTGCCCACCTCTCCTGGGCTCAGGCTGGGCAGCCTGTATGTGTATGTGTGTGTGTGTGTGTTCATGTGTGAGGTGGGGCATGGTCTATGTTCGCCCACCTCTCCTGGGCTCAGGCTGGGCAGCCTGTATGTGTGTGTATGTGTGTGTTCATGTGTGAGGTGGGGTGTGGGCCGTGGATTCGCCCACCTCTCCTGGGCTCAGGCTGGGCAGTCTGCCATAGGTGGGCACAGGCCCTTCATTGGTGGGAAAGCTGCTGGAGCACCAGGCCCTGGCATCTCTCGGTCAGTGTCGGGGCTACCATTGGGCAAGTGGCACTGGCCGCCACCCCTGCTGGTATCCATTCCTGCTGCTGGCACTTGTGGCTCTGCAATGGCCTCTCCCAGTTCAGGGGACTCCGCACGTGAGGTCCCCCCACAGTGGACTCAGTCGCCAGGCGTGGGATTCCCCCGTCCCGGACACTCTTGGTTGTCTCCAGGGCCCCAGAGGACCTGAGTGTCCCCAGAGGTCCAGTCCTTCACCTGGGCTTGGTGGCCCCACAGGCAAATCTGTCCTGCTCCTTGTTAGACCAGTGCCTCGGCCCAAGCCAGCAGGAAGCAGTGTAGCCCTCCAGGCTGGCCACCCTCTGGGGCTAGCTCGTGTCCTGGGGTGGGAGTGGGCGCCTGACCTAGAGCCAGGCAGCTGCATCTTTGGGGTGGATGCCCAACAGAACCCCTGTCGGCCTCTGCCTGGGGGCCCCAGGGTGCGAGGGGCAGGGCTCAGCAGTGCAGCCGGCCAGTGCTGCCCAGGGCTGGGACGGCAGACCTCTGGTCCCCGAGGAGCCTTCCTGGGGTAGACTCAGCCCCAGCACAGAGGGAGGACTCTGGGGGAGCTGGGCAGGGGGCACGCGTGTCAGTGACCGTGGGACAGTCTGGGACCCCACAGGGGTGCCACAGAACCTGGCCTCTGGTACCACCCTGTCCTTGGCGACAAAAGTTACCGCTAGTTTTATGTGGGGAGGGGGTGCAGTCTGCACTGGCCGCACCCTGCTGTCCTGCCCGGAGCCGGGTTGAGGGGAGGGAAGGCTGCGTAAGGGGCTGCAGGAGATTTGCTGGCTGCTCAGTGGGGGGAGCGTGTGTGGCCCCTGCAAGCTCAGGAGGAGGAGGACAGCCCATCCCTCAAACCCTGGGCGAGCTGGGAGCCAGGGAAGGTGTGGAAGGTCTTATTCCTGCCTCCTGCCAGGGAGAAGGTGGAGGAGGAGGGCCGGGCTGGAAGCAGGGAGGGGTGGAGCCCAGCGGCCGGGGCGGAGCCCAGCAGCCCCGCCTTCGGAAGGCGGTAGGCGCCCTGGGCGGCCTGGCCTCTCACTGCCCCGATGGCTCCCGACCCCAGCGGCCGCCTGGGCCTGCTGCTGCTGTTGGCCTGCTGCGTGCCGATCGCCTGGGCCCAGATCCTGAATTGGATATGGCCCGGCGAGAAGCTCAGCCCCATATCCAAGTGGGTCCTCAAGCCCCACGACAGCCCCGTGGAGCCCACGCTGGGACTCACCACGCACGTGGACCTGGGGCATGGCTCCACGGAACCCGAGGCCAGCCGGAGCCCAGCGCCTGCCGACGCCACCCCCGACGCCATCCTGGCCACGAGCCCAGGCACGACCAAGGAAGAAAATGTCGCTGGAGTCGGAGCCCAGATCCTGAACGTGGCTGCGAGCATCCGGAGCTTCGTCCAGCTGTGGGATGAGGCTGCCCCCACTGAGAGTGCTGCTGCGGTGGCCACGCTGGCTACTGCGGCTTTTACAGACCCCCTCACCCTCCCAAGGCCACCTGATGAGCCCCCGGAGCACAGAGACACTCTTGGGCCCAGCACTGCAGCCCCGGACGCCCTGACGACCACCGCTGACGTGCTGGCACCCACCGCACCACTTGCCTCCTCTGGACAGCCCCGGGCATCATTGGGGGTGTCCCCAGGTAGAACCGCTCTGTCTTCTCCGCCTGGTGGGGCCCCTCCCTGGGGAAGTCCCATGCCCCTGAGGCAGCTGCAGGATCTGCACAGCAGCAGAGGACCCCGGCCCACGGCAGCCGCCCCCCGTCGGCAGCAGTCGGAGCAACTTGGTGGCGGCCGTCGAGCACTGCGCCTGCTTCCCCTGGTGCTGGGTCTCCCGGGTGCGCACGTGGCCCCTGCTGCTCCTACCCCCGACCTCCTGGCCTCGCCTGCTCTCGCTGCGGCCCCAGCTTTCATCGGTGATGGTGGCGGTGGGCCCTGGGTTTCCCACATGGCTAATGACTCTGCCCGCTGCCTGCCCCTGCCGCCTGCCCTGCCCATGTGCGGCCACCTGGGTATCGGGCACACCTGGCTGCCCAACCACCTGCGGCATGGGCGTGGCGAGGAGGTGCAGGCCGCGGTACAGGCCTGGGGGGCCCTTCTGCTGTCCCGTTGCCACCCTTTCCTCGCCTGGTTCTTCTGCCTGCTGCTGGCACCCCCATGCAGCCTGGGCCCACCACCCGGGCCCCCGCCGTGCCGCCAGTTCTGCGAGGCTGTGGAGGACGCCTGCTGGAGCCGCCTGGACGGGGGCCGGCTGCCCGTCGCCTGCACCTCGCTACCTGCCCAGGAAGACGGGTACTGTGTGTTCATTGGGCCGGCTGCAGGTAACTGGCCGGCCGATGCCCTCCCCACCCTTCCTTTGTGCCTGGCCAGGTAAGCTGGACAGGGCCTGCCTGCCCCGAGCCGAGCTGGGCGAGAGCCCGAGGGAGGAGGCTGGGGCCAGGGGTGTTGGGTACGGGTGAGACCTCAGAATCTTCAGGGTGCCACCTGTGCCAGGTGCCCCCTGAGCATTCACTGCAGTGTGTTCCCCCCTTGTGCCCCTGCCAAGGTGGGGAAATGGGTACCGGTGCTGACAGGGCCCAGCCGTCTTCAAGGGGGTCCGGCCTGCTTGGGTTTGGGGAGGGGCCGCTAGCTGCCATGAAGGCCAGTGCCCGATTATGCTCAGGGCAGGAGGGGCCTCTGAGCTCTGCAGCTCAGGGCCAGCAGAGGGGCTTCAGTTCTGACCTCTTTGAGCTAGGGGCAGCTGGAACAGGCTCTGTCTCCACGTGGGTGCGTGAGGGCTGGGCCCGAGGCACTGGCCAGGCATGGGTGTCCTGCCCGCCTGGGGGGCAGCCGTCAGTCTGGGCTCGGGAGCGGGTGGTGGGGTGGAGTGTGTGCAGTGGCGATTGCGCGACTGGCGAGTCTCGGGCCAGGTGACCTGTTGCTCAGGGAAAGCCTGGTGCCTCCGCAGACCTGGGGTACAGCCTGTCAGCAGTGCCAGCCAGGGGGGAGAGGGACCAAGCCATGACAGGGAAGGGAAAGGAAGCTCTTGGGCTGGCATGAGGAGCAGGGGCATACCCAGGGTGTGTGAGTGTGTGATGGGGTGCCCAGCTTGTTCTGAGGCTCTCCTGTGTGCAGAAAGCAAGGGGGCCCCGTGGCTGTGCCCTGGGCGCCATGGGGGGGGCAGTCCTGGGAGCAACTTGACCCTGGGCCCCACATGGCCAGCCCACGTTGGCCCTGGTGCGACTGAGCCAGCGTCACCCCCACCCGGCCACAGCTGGCTGAGCCCGCCCTGCCCTCCTGCTGCCAAGTGTGTTGGGAGGGCAGCCACTCCCCGCCCAGCCCTGCCCACAGGCCCCCTGCTGCTTTTGAGGCGCTCCAGGGCCCTGCGGCAGAGGATCTGCTGTGTGGGGTGGGGTTGGCTCTGACGCCAGTGAGGCCCTGGCAGGGCTGTGGGGGCGGGAGCTCTCGGGCTGCAGCTGGACAGTTGGGCCATGTCCCCAGCAGGGTCCTGGGGGACCCTCCCATTGAGCTGACAGCCAGCACCCCTCAGACCAGAGGAGGGAGCTGGCTGCTGCCGGCCGGTGCCTGTCCCGTGTGTGGCTGGGCATGACTGGGCGTGCTGCCCTGGTACTCAGCCCTTCCACTCCTTGGGGTGAGCACCCCCATGTTGGACTGGATGCTCCAGGAGGAAGCAAACGGGTGGGACAGGAAGCATAGGGGTGGCGGTCAGGCCCAGGGAGGTCCTTGGGGTGCTTCCCCTGGCCTGGTCAGAGCCCCGGCCACTCCTGGCTGTCCTGCCACCTGGTCCCATGGACCCATGTCACCCGCTCATCTACACAGCTGCTCCTGCATGCCCCTCTCTCCCTGGGCTCTGCCCAGCCAGGCTTGCAGCCCACAGGAGGTGCGTGCAGTGGGGTCTGGGGCCAGCCGTGGGGGTGCACTTCGTGGTGACCAGGAGGGAGGTTGCCCTGGGGACCCTCTGCTGTGGCTGTGCCTGGTGTTGCACAGGTCCTGGGGACCTCGTGGCCTCTGCCTGTGTCCCTCAGGCCTGGGGGGCAGGGGCTGCATCCACCTGTCCCATGGTCAGGCCATCCCAGGAGCCCCGAGGGGCTGTCCAGTGGGGCTGTGCATGTCTGACCCCAGAGGCAGGTGCCCTGTTCACAGGTGAGGTCTGGGAGGCCAGTGGAGAAGCGCGGAACCCCCAGCCCGGCGTGCTGCCCTCGCTCCTGGTTGGTTGCTTAGGGTTGGCCATGTTGGTGAGGGTCACATCCTCGTCACTGCCCCGGCCAGGGGCTCTCTGCTCCCTGACTCATTCGTGTTAGCCTGAGTGTGTCAGAAAGTGTAGGCACCCTTGGTGGGCCCCAGTGAGCCCGGCATCTGCAGGAAGTGGACACTGCGCTTGGCCGAGGTTCCTTGTGGGGAAGTTTGGTGGTGCCAGCCGTGACTTCCTGTGGCTGCCATGTTGGGGGGCTGCTGGGTGTGTATAGGGTCTCCCCAGTGAGCCCTCAGACCAAAGTGGGGTCTTGGCCGGTGGCTGATGTCTCATCTCCACGCCCAGTTGGCCCACGTGTCTGTCCTTACCCTAGACCAGCTTCCTCCTGTGCTTTGCCTCTGCCAGCCCCGTGCCTGGCTCGTTGCTGTGGCTTGTGGCCTGTGCCACTGTGAGACAGGTTGCCACGTGCTGGAAGCCAGTGGTTCCCGTCCATGCCTGTGTCATGTGGCCGCCCAGGGATGCCAGGGCAGATTCTGTGTCTCGACTGCCTTGTGCTGCGTTGCACCAGGCGTGGCTGCGTGGGCAGGCCTGACGCCGCCCTTCTGGGTATGCACCGGGCGGCACAGCTGTGGGGCTGGCAGATCCTTGTATGCGAGTCCCAGCAACTTCCACACTGCTTTCCAGGAATGCCACACGGAGGGACACAGGGCCTGCCTGACACCGTCCAGCGCCACTAGCTCCTGCCCTCACATGTATGTTACATGTATGTGGCTCTGAGCTGCACTCCGTGGGACACTGAGCGCCTTCCCTCATTCGTGTTTTTGGGCACAGTGCTCGCTGAAACAGCAGAGCATGGGATGGGGGTGGGGAGCGTCTCCCATCTGCTTGCTGGGTCACTCCCCAAACTGCCAGCGGCCTGAGCTGGGCCGGTCCAAAGCCAGGAGCCAGGAGCTCCATGCAGGCCTGCCTGGTGCTCCCGGGCCAGCCTGCTGCTTTCCCAGGAATGTTAACAGGGAGCTGGCTGGGAAGTGCAGTGGCCAGGACTTGAACCGATAAGGAATGCCAGCACGGCATGGCCCCAGGGCCAGGCACTTTTCCGTGACTGCGTCTCTGTCTCTGGGGTCCACTCAGGCACTCGGCCCTTGTTCGAATGCGGCTTTGATGGTGTTCCTCCTGTATTTTGGGTGTTACTGCATTTTCAGATAAATGATTTGCAAAGACCATGTTCCCTTCTGCCTGCTGTAATAATTATTTTCTGACACTAAAATGCTTTCAGTTTCCATGAAAGTCAGTCTGATTTGGCCCCACCAGGAAATCCCACAAAGCTGACTTCGTTGAGCTTCTCTTCTGCAAGGCTGGGGTTCTCTGGGATTCCCCGTGTGTCTCGGGACAGGGTTTTCTGCATCTGCCAGAACACGGCCAGGTTCGGCTAGGCGTCCGGCACACTGCAGGTCTGCCTTGGCTGTCATCGCCTTGGTGACCTCCTCCTCGTGGCCTGGGTCAGGTGGCGTGTGGCTCCGTCTCTCAGGACACGTGTCCTCCTCGTGGCCTGGGTCAGGTGGCGTGTGGCTCCGTCTCCCAGGACACGTGTCCTCCTCGTGGCCTGGGTCAGGTGGCGTGTGGCTCCGTCTCTCAGGACACATGTCCCCTGGGTGATTTTCTCCTTCAGCCCACAGCACAGCCCCATGGCAGTTGTAATGTGGGGCCAGCTTCAGGCGTTGCCCCTCTGTTGTATGGCCAGTCCCGACCAGGACGTGTTCCTGCCTGCTGAGATCCAGTATGGGCCTAGCAAGAGGACGCACGGTGGGTCGGGCAGGTGGGCCAGGCGCAGTGTGTGCCAGGCATGTGGACACAAGAGCCTTTGCTGCTGGGTTAGGTAAGAGGTCCTTGAGTGTACCTGTGGCTGCGGCCAGGCAGGTTCATCTGAAGGCTGAGCCACACAGCCGTGTGTGGGGTCCCAGCACACAGGGCCTCCTTCCCTGTGGCTGCCATAAGCCCCTTGTCACCCCTGCCAGCCTGTTTTCCCGAGGGAGAGGTCCTAAGCCACCAGGTCTCTGTCTGGGCCAGCCGGGGGGTGTGGGCCAGCCGGGGCTGTGGGCCAGCGGGCCAGCTGGGGGCTGTGGGCCAGCCGGGGGGTGTGGGCCAGCCGGAGCTGTGGGCCAGCGGGCCAGCCGGGGGGTGTGGGCCAGCCGGGGGGTGGCCCCCGTTCCCAGGAAGGCTGCATCCCCTGTAGTACAGCTGGGCCAGGCGGGCAGTGTGGGAGGTGGTGACGTCAGCGAGAGCCAGGATCCGGTGATCCGGTGACCCCAGTGGAGCCCGAGGAATGTGGTGGGGAGGAAGGAGCGGCTTGGGAAGAATCTCGGGGGACCTGGCTGGGGTCTGAGGCCAGGAGCCGGCAGCTGCAGCCTGCTGCTTCCTTCATCAGCTGGGGAGGGGGGTGGTGCCTGGCTGGTCACCCCAGAATGTCCCTGAGTGGGCCCTGGGCCCGTTCTTCCGATGGCCGGGACTCCTGTTGCGGGGGTGGTCGTGGTGCTGCGAGCAGGAAATGGCTAGCAGGGACAGTTCATCAGTGTGCTCTGACTGCAGCCTTCGGAAAGGCCGGGGGCCACGAGAGCCCTCACCTCCTCTTCCTGTCGGGTCCAGGGAGTTGCCAGTCACGCCCCCTTCCCGGCGCCCCGCAGAGCGAAGCTCCTGACACCGCCTGGCAGCTGGTCACCCCGTCCTCCCTGGCGCCCCACAGAGCAGAGCCCCAGATGCCAGCTGCCAGACTCTTAAGGAGCTTGAAGGACCATGGCTTATCTCAGAAGTCAGGGTTCCACTCCTTGCTCCCCATGAGCCTGGCCTGAGGCGGGGGCCCAGCCTGCGTGACTGTCCCAGGACCGCTGTGCATCTACATGCGTGTCTGTATGCGGGTTCACATACACCCCCACACCATGCAATTCCATGTGTTCACATGTATGCCTGCTCATGCACACCTGTGCATGCACACATGTGGCCCTGCACACACAGCAGGTGTGTTCACACACACACTCCAGGCATGGGGACACACGTGGACCTGCACACACAGCAGGCGTGTTCACACACACTCCAGGCATGGGGTACACGTGGACCTGCACATACAGCAGGCATGTTCACGCACACTCCAGGCACACACATGAACCTGCACACACAGCAGGCGTGTTCACACACACTCCAGGCACACACACATGTGGACCTGCACATACAGCAGGTGTGTTCACACACACTCCAGGCATGGGGTACACGTGGACTTGCACACACAGCAGGCGTGTTCACACACTCCAGGCACACACACATGAACCTGCACATACAGCAGGCATGTTCACACACACTCCAGGCATGGGGGCACATGTGGACCTGCACACACAGCAGGCGTGTTCACACACATTCCAGGCACACACACATGTGGACCTGCACATACAGCAGGCGTGTTCACACACACACTCCAGGCACACACACACTCGTGGCCCTGCACACACAGCAGGCGTGTTCACACACACTCCAGGTACACACACACATGAACCTGCACATTCAGCAGGCATGTTCACACACTCTAGGCACACACACATGTGGACTTGCACACACAGCAGGCGTGTTCACACACACTCCAGGTACACACACACATGAACCTGCACATACAGCAGGCATGTTCACACACTCCAGGCACACACACATGTGGACCTGCACATACAGCAGGCATGTTCACACACACACTCCAGGCACACACACACTCGTGGCCCTGCACACACAGCAGGCGTGTTCACACACACACTCCAGGCACACACACACATGTGGACTTGCACACACAGCAGGCGTGTTCACACACACTCCAGGTACACACACATGAACCTGCACATACAGCAGGCATGTTCACACACTCCAGGCACACACACATGTGGACTTGCACACACAGCAGGCGTGTTCACACACACTCCAGGCATAGGTACGTTTACCTCACCACAACCTCCCAGAAACATCCCTCAATTCTTGCTCTGAGGCCCCTGAGATGCGAGCGCCCCACTCCTGGATGTGGGCTTCCTTCCGCAGCCCGGGGATGACTTGGGGTGCCCTTCAGGGGAACTGCAAGGCCTGTGGGGTGTCTGGATTGTGGTTCCATTTTGTCTGCTGGTTCTGTGCAGGGCCAGTTCCCATGCATAGAATTCCAGGGGAGTGAGGGTGCGTGTGGAGCCGGGGAGGCAAATGGAGCTCAGGGAGAGATGTTTGCAGCTGGAGGGGGTAGTGTCTGGAGCCGTGTTGTGCGGGGGGCATCTGGCTCGTCCCCCCCCCCCCCACACACACACAGCAAGGCTTGTTTCAGGTAATGCCAGCGGCTGGAGCGGGGCAGATGGGGGTCCCATGCTCTCGGGGGGAACACTCCCTGCCCCAGCCACCACACATGGTGGGGTCCCAGAGGACTGCACAGTGGCCAGTGAGTCCCTGGAGGGTGGGAAGGGCCCGTGTTTGCTAGGTCCCTGGCAGGCAGTTTTGTTACTTCTTGAGCTGTATTTATTGCAAAGACAGTTAACAGGTTGTGGGGTGGGGAGAAGAGATCTTTCATCAGCTGGAAGGAACTGGGACTTTGGGTCCGCCACGTAGATGCAGGGGCCTGGGCAGTGGGGTGCCCTGCACTGCTCCCCCAGACCATCAGCAGGGAGCTGGTCACAGCGGAGCAGCAGGACTGGGTGGTGTGTTAGAGGCTGGTGTTGGCAGGCAGGGGCTTTACCCGCTGTACCCGAGCGCCAGCCCGTGGCATGCATGCAGATGTCGTCGGGGCCAGTGCGTCTGAGGGGTGAGGGGGAGGGCTGCCATGTGTGGTCTTAGACACACGGCCCTCACCAGTCCTTTCCTCTTGCAGAGGGCTCCGGCGATGAAGTGGGGCTGCTGCAACTGCTTGGGGAGCCCCCGCCCCAGCAAGTCACCGAGGTCGAGGACCCCGACGTCGGGCTGGCCTACGTCTTCGGGCCGGACGCCAACAGTGGCCAGGCGGCCCACTACCACTTCCCCAGCCCGTTTTTCCGGGACTTCTCGCTGCTGTTCCGCATCCGGCCAGCCACGGCACAGGCAGGGGTGCTGTTCGCCATCACGGACCCGGCGCAGGCCGTGGTCAGGCTGGGCGTGAAGGTCTCGGAGGTGCAAGACGACCACCAGCTCATCTCGCTGCTCTACACGGAGCCAGGCACCAGCCCGACCCGCACGGCCGCCAGCTTCCGCCTGCCCGCCTTCGTGGGTCAGTGGCTGCGCTTCGCGCTGAGCGTGGATGCTGGCCACGTGGCACTCTATGTGAACTGTGAGGAGTTCCAGAGGGTGCCCTTCTCACGCTCGGCCCAGAGCCTGCCGCTGGAGCCGGGCTCAGGCCTCTTTGTGGCTCAGGCCGGAGGAGCTGACCCTGACAGGTTCCAGGTAAGCTCTGTGCGGGAGTGGCGGGAACAGAAGGGAGCACCTGCTTCCGTGGCTCCTGTGGTCAACGCCTGTCAGGGCCAGGAGCCCCCCTCTGTGTGGACCCTGGTGGACAGGCCAAAGGGGGTGATGACCACAGAATTGGGAGCCCCCGCCACACTGAGTGACCCGACCCCTTCTGCCGTGGCCTTCTGCCTCTGGGGAGGTGGCCAGGACCCTGAGCAGGGACAAGGCCGCGTGGGTGCCCTCGGCTGGCGCTGACTCACTGGTGTGGATTCTGGCGCTGGGTCCCTGTGGGCGCCCGGGCTGCGACCTCGGGACAGAGTTAATTATTGTCACACAGAGGCCGTTTGTTTGAAGCTGAGCCGCATGCTGGCCCTGATGCTGACCTCCCGTCCTTGGCTGAGTGTTTAACCCCCAGGGGTCAAGAGCCCTGGGCTTCCCTGTGTTCTCCCAGTCTGCACAGTGAGCCGGAAGGAGACGGCATCCCTGTCTTGCCATCTGGGGGGAGGGATTTAGACATTTGTGGAAGGGAGCACATCCGTGATGGAGTGGCACCTGGGGTCAGTGTGCATGCGTGGGCCCTGTGGTGCCATGTGGGCAGGGCGCCTGGGGTCAGTGTGCATGTGTGGGCGCTGTGGTGCCATGTGGGCAGGGCACCTGGGGTCAGTGTGCATGTGTGGGCGCTGTGGTGCCATGTGGGCAGGGCGCCTGGGGTCAGTGTGCATGTGTGAGCGCTGTGGTGCCATGTGGGCAGGGCACCTGGGGTCAGTGTGCATGTGTGGGCGCTGTGGTGCCATGTGGGCAGGGCGCCTGGGGTCAGTGTGCATGTGTGGGCGCTGTGGTGCCATGTGGGCAGGGCGCCTGGGGTCAGTGTGCATGTGTGAGCGCTGTGGTGCCATGTGGGCAGGGCACCTGGGGTCAGTGTGCATGTGTGGGCGCTGTGGTGCCATGTGGGCAGGGCGCCTGGGGTCAGTGTGCATGTGTGAGCGCTGTGGTGCCATGTGGGCAGGGCACCTGGGGTCAGTGTGTGCGTGGGCCCTGTGGTACCATGTGGGCAGGGCACCTGGGGTCAGTGTGTGCGTGGGCCCTGTGGTGCCATGTGGGCAGGGCACCTGGGGTCAGTGTGTGCGTGGGCCCTGTGGTGCCATGTGGGCAGGGCGCCTGGGGTCGGTGTGTGCATGGGCACTGTGGTGCCATGTGGGCAAGGCACCAGCCTGGGGTCAGTGTGCATGCATGGGCGCTGTGGTGCCATGTGGGCAGGGCACCAGCCTGGGGTCAGTGTGCATGCATGGGTGCTGTGGTGCCATGTGGGCAGGGCGCCTGCCTGGGGTCAGTGTGCATGCGTGGGCACTGTGGTGCCATGTGGGCAGGGCGCCAGCCTGGGGTCAGTGTGCATGCGTGGGCACTGTGGTGCCATGTGGGCAGGGCACCAGCCTGGGGCAGGGTTTGCATTTTCTCTTGTAGTGTTGGTTTTTCTGTTTCTAGGATGGACTGAACTGTCTTGTTGATTCGTAGATTCTCTTTACATATGCACAGGACAAGCCTTGGGCTTCTGTGTCGTCAGTCTAGTCACAGCTTGTCCACTGTCCCCTGGATGTGGGGGTGTTGTATTGCTAAGTGGCCTGTGGACACATGCAGGGCGCCAGGCATCCCAGCAAGGTTGCAGGTCCCTCGACTGCAGCTTGTGTTCCGAGACCCCAGGCACTTCAGCTCTCTCTGTGCGTCCCCAGCTGGGAGGAGCAGACACTGGAGAGCAGAAGAGAGGTGGGGAGGTGTTCGGCCCCGGTGACCCTCTCAGGAAGGCCCTGGGCTGTGTGTAAGCTCTGAAGTTTGCAGAGCCAGGCCCAGCACTGCGGGCACTGGAGGCACTGTGGGCACTACATGGCGTGCCTCAGTGAGGCTCCCGGCCACACTACACACAGCCCGGCCACCCAGGCACCCGTGGTTCCCTTCAGGACCAGGCAGTACCATTCTCACATTGATCCCTTCCCCGGCCCAAGCCGTGTGCCCAGCAGGGCCTGCACCTGAATATGTACCCCATGTCTCCTGTCACCCACTGTGCCCCATGTCTCCTGGCACCTGCCATGCCCTGTGTCTCCTGGCACCCACTGTGCCCCGTGTTTCCTGGTACCCACCGTGCCCATCACCCACTGTGCCCCGTGTCTCCTGTCACCCACCGTGCCCATCACCCACTGTGCCCCATGTCTCCTGGCACCCACTGTGCCCCATGTTTTCTGTCACCCACCGTGCCCATCACCCACTGTGCCCCATGTCTCCTGGCACCCACTGTGCCCCATGTTTTCTGTCACCCACCATGCTCATCACCCACTGTGCCCCGTGTCTCCTGGCACCCGCCGTGCCCATCACCCACCATTCCCTGTGTCTCCTGTCACCCACCGTGCCCCGTGTTTCCTGGCACCCGCTGTGCCCATCACCCACTGTGCCTGGTGGCTCCTGCTCTCCCTGCACAGGAAGGGGTCCCCAGCCCTTGTTTGCTCACTGCTCTTTATCTTGGGAACTTGTCCCTCACTCTGGCTTTGATCTCTTTGGTTGATGTCAGCCGTCTTGTTTGTCTAAATGTTCCACTAGCGTCCTTTGGCCCCCAGGCCACACGGAGCTTGAGAGCTGTAGGCCGCTGTAACTGGTCTGTGCCAGCACAGGCAGCTGTGGATGTGAATTTTCTTCAGCGTGGCACCATGGGCACACCGCCATGGGCACGCCACCATGGGCACACCACCATGGACACACTGCCATGGGCATGCCACATGGGCACACCACCATGGGCAGGTCACCATGGGCAGGTCACCATGGGCACACCACCATGGGCACGCCACCATGGGCACACCACCATGGGCAGGTCACCATGGGCACACCACCATGGGCACACCGCCATGGGCACACCGCCATGGGCACGTCGCCATGGGCACACCACCATGGGAACACCGCCATGGGCACACCACCATGGGCATACCACCATGGGCCAGTGGTGAGTGTGCTGAGACCTCAGGGTGGCACCATGGAAGAAGCCGTGTATGTCCAGCCCTGCCAGGCCCCACGGCTGACCAGGGAGCCTGGGACACCCACAGTTCTGACCTTAGTTAGCCTGGCTCACTGAGCCATTTTTATGGAGTCAGGGAGCCTGGGGGTGGTAGGACCCTGAGGAGAAGCCAGCACACAGCAGTTAGCAGTGGACAGTGGCGGCAGGGTCCAGAGGATGAGGGACGGCCCTGCCGCCTGGCTGCTGCAGTTCATACTGTCCTGCAGGCAGCCCTCACCTGGGGAACCTTACCACGGCAGCTGTGGTATGTCACGGGGCCGAGTGCTGTGTGCCAGCGGGTCTGGCGTTCGATGAGGGCGTGCACCCTGTCTGCTCACTCACCCGGGATGTGATGCAAGCGCGCCGTGTTTGCCTGTGGGACGCTCTGATCTCCCACCCAGCGCTCTGGATTTCATGGTTTTGGGTTTCAAGTCCAGCAAATATTTGCAGGGAACCGTGTGGCTTCTGCACAGCTGCCTGTCCCCAGAGCGTGTCCCCCATGGGCGGCACCGGGAGGGCCATGGGAGGCAGGCAGGGGCTTCTGTACGGCCTCTGCCATGTGCCCCCGCTAGGTGTGCAGGAGCCACTCAAGGGGACCATCCTGGCCCTCCTGGAAAGCCTGACTTTGCGGGGTCTGAACTGTCACCCAGAATTCTCAGGGGGGACCTTGGCTAGGCAGTAGGGCTGGTGAGAGGCAGACTGGGAACATGTGGCACCCCTGTTGTCCCCCGGACTGGACACCTGTCGCACTCAATGTTGGGAGAGGCATCACCTGGTGCCATGAGCCCCATTTCCCCTGTAGGGCTGGGCTGGGCTGGGCTGGGCTGGGCTGGGCTGGGGCTAGGGTGGGCAGGGCTGGAGCTAGGGTGGGCAGGGCAGGGCAGGGCTCAGTGGCTGGGCAGGGTAGGGCTGGGCTGGGTTGGGCTGGGCCACTCTGGATCTGCGCTGACCTCTGTCCTCTGTTTAGGGGAGCATTGCCGAGTTGAGTGTGCGTGGGGACCCCCAGCTGAGCCCCCAGCACTGCCTGGACGAGGAAGACGATGATGATGGCGGGGTGAGTGATGGCTTGTGGTGAGGCTGTGCCCTGGTGCTCAGAGCCCAGCAGCCTTGCTCCCCACCCACACTAACTCCCCCAAGGGCTGCCAGGGCTCGGGGCACATGGGCATGGGTGCTGCTTAGTTATTAGTTGCTGTGCGGTGACTGAAGGCAGAGCTGGGCTGGCCTTGCGCTGGATAAGGCTTCGCCATGAGCAGTTCCAGCCCAGTGCCTGCATACAGACCGGGCCAGTCCCTGTGTGAAGACCAGGCCTACTCCTCACATACTGACCATGCCCAGTCCCCACGTGCTGACCAGGGCCAGTCCCCATGTGCTGACCATGCCCAGTCCCCACGTGCTGACCATGCCCAGTCCCCACATGCTGACCATGCCCAGTTCCCACGTGCTGACCATGCCCAGTCCCCATGTGCTGACCATGCCCAGTCCCCATGTGCTGACCATGCCCAGTCCCCACGTGCTGACCAGGGCCAGTTCCCACGTGCTGACCATGCCCAGTCCCCACATGCTGACCAGGGCCAGTCCCCACGTGCTGACCATGCCCAGTCCCCACATGCTGACCAGGGCCAGTCCCCACGTGCTGACCATGCCCAGTCCCCACATGCTGACCATGCCCAGTCCCCACATGCTGACCATGCCCAGTCCCCACGTGCTGACCAGGGCCAGTCCCCACGTGCTGACCATGCCCAGTCCCCACGTGCTGACCATGCCCAGTCCCCACGTGCTGACCAGGGCCAGTCCCCACGTGCTGACCAGGGCCAGTCCCCACATGCTGACCATGCCCAGTCCCCACGTGCTGACCAGGGCCAGTCCCCACGTGCTGACCATGCCCAGTCCCCACATGCTGACCATGCCCAGTCCCCACGTGCTGACCATGCCCAGTCCCCACATGCTGACCAGGGCCAGTCCCCACGTGCTGACCATGCCCAGTCCCCACGTGCTGACCAGGGCCAGTCCCCACGTGCTGACCATGCCCAGTCCCCACGTGCTGACCAGGGCCAGTCCCCACGTGCTGACCAGGGCCAGTCCCCACGTGCTGACCATGCCCAGTCCCCACGTGCTGACCATGCCCAGTCCCCACGTGCTGACCAGGGCCAGTCCCCACGTGCTGACCATGCCCAGTCCCCACCTGCTGACCAGGGGTGAGTTTCCTGCCGCGGCAGCTGCCTCCAGCCCTAGGCTGCAGCAGTTGTAGGTCCATGTGCCCTGCCAGGAGCATGTGGGTGTGGGGCCTCCTGTCCAGGCAGACATCCCAGGTGTGCTGTCCGTACTCTCTATGGCCACAGCTGCCAGACTCTGGGGGGCCCAAGCTAATGTGGGGAGGGAGCACCCCGGGTCTCTCTTGAGAATGCTGGGAACACAGTGAGGTCACAGCCTGAGGGTGCTCGGACCCCACTGGGGCCAGGCTGTGCTCACCCTCCTTGCCTCTGACCCTCCAGGCCTCTGGGGACTTTGGCAGTGGACTTGAAGAGAATCGAGAGCTGCGCAGGGAGGACACAGTGAGTGGCTGCCCTCACCCCCAGCCGTGCCCACACCAGGCTCTCCTCCCATCCCTCCAGTGTCTCAGGCCTGCTCTCTGTGGTGCTCCCAGAACGGAGCCCGCGCTGGCCCTCAGCAGGCCTCGGGCCACAGAGCTGGGGGACTTCGCCAGCTGCCCAGGGAGACTACAGCTTGCAGCCCAGGCCACCCCACCCAAGGGGCCCTCTGCCAGATGAACCCTCATGCGCCTGCTCCTGCAGGGCACGTCCCGGAAGCCCAGCCCACCACAGCCACCACCGGTCACTTCTCCTCCCTTGGCTGAAGACAGCACCATAGAAGATTCCAGAACTGAAGAAACTGAGGCAACTACGGTGGCCACATTAGGAGGTAACACTCTTCTGTGTGTCCTCGCAGAATCTGGTATGTATGGGTGTGCACATGGCATGTAAGTATATAGCACCTGCCGTATGTGGTATGTGTGTGTGCTGGGCGTGAGCTCCATGTCTGCTCCGTGTGGTGTGCTGGGTGTGTGTCATGCGTGTGCTGGACATGAGCTCCGTGTGCTCCATGTGATATGCAGGTGTGTGCCACGTGTGTGCTGGGAGTGAGCTCCATGTCTGTGCTCCGTGTGATATGCAGGTGTGTGTCATGCGTGTGCTGGACATGAGCTCCGTGTGATCCATGTGATATGCAGGTGTGTGCCACGTGTGTGCTGGGAGTGAGCTCCATGTCTGCTCCGTGTGATATGCAGGTGTGTGCCACTTGTGTGCTGGGAGTGAGCTCTGTCTGCTCTGTGTGGTGTGCTGGGTGTGTGTGCCACGTGTGTGCTGGGAGTGAGCTCCATATCTGCTCCGTGTGATATGCAGGTGAGTGTCACGCGTGTGCTGGGAGTGAGCTCCATGTCTGTGCTCCGTGTGCTATGCAGGTGTGGTGTGTGTGTCACATGTGTGCTGGGAGTGAGCTCCATGTCTGCTCCATGCGGTGTGCACGTTTGTGGTGTATGTTATGTGTGTTGTGGGAATGAGCTTATGTCTGCTCCGTGTGGTTTGCACATGTGTGGTCTATGCGTGTTGTGTTTGTGGTGGCCTGGGTCTGCAGGGGTGAAGGTGGGGTGGCTGCTGACACAGTGCCCCCTCATGCCCCCGTCCCCCTGCACCTTCTGGATGGGGTGGGCCCCCACTCGCTCCAAGGGCCAGTGGGACCTGGGACTGCAGGCCGCCTCTGGGGAGGGGCTTTGCACAGGGACTGGGCAGCAGGCGGCTGGGGAGGGTGTGTGTGTGTGTGTGTGTGTGTGTCAGCTGTGTGCCGTGTGTGTCCCCTGGGGACTCTGTGTGAGGACTCCCTGGGTGCCATATGTGTGTGTCCACTACATGCCGTGTGTGCGGGTGCTCATGCACCTTGGTGCCATGTGTGTCCCCTCATGGAACCCTGACTTGGTATGGTGGCCGAGATAGGTCCGTCTTCCACTTGCCTCTTACTGGCACCCTTGTCCATGCTTCTGTGGCCTCCAGCGTGGCCAGGGTTGCGGGTGGCCGATTTCCCTGAAGAGCCAGTTTTGCGGGCCTGTCCCTTGCACAGAGCCTGGCTGCCCCCTGGTGGCCAAGGTGTGACTCACACATGGTGTGGCTGCAGGCACTGCTGCCTGATAGCCAAACCTGGGGGGACAGTGACCCCGGGACCAGAGGGCTCTGTGCTGCGTACAGGAACGGGGCGTGTTCAGGTCTCCAGAGGGGTGGACATAGCAAGGCCTCAAGGGAATTAGAGGGTAGAAGAGGAAATTACGGAGCCCAGAACCAGGGTACCCCTCGCAGGTCTCACTGTCCCAGGTCACACTGTCCCCAGGTCACCCCTCACAGGTCACACTGTCCCCAGGTCATCCTTGACAGGTCACACTGTCTCCCAGGACACTCCTTATAGGTCACACTGTCCCCAGGTCACCTGTCACAGGTCGCACTGTCCCCAGGCATAGCTCAGATTATCCCAGGTCACCCCTCAAATGTCACAGGTCATGTTGTCCCGGTACACCCCTCAGAAGTACAGGTCATAGGTCATACTCTCCCAGGTCGCCTCCCACAGGTCTCACTGCTGAAGGTGCAGTGGGTGTCCAAATGCCCTGAGACAGGTTGTCCCACTGCTCTCAGGTCCCTGGCCCAGACGTGGCTATGGGCAAAGCAGCAGAGGTCAGACGTCCACCACTCCTGTAGGCCAGCATCGGTCCACCTGTGGCCTTGGCCGTGGCCCCTGCTGTGGGGCGTCTGTGGCCAGGCCACACTCCAGGTAACAGGATGCAGCAATGGCGTGCTCAACGGAGACGTACTGAAGACAGTGATGGCGAACTTGTCCGTTTATACAGCCAGGCACCAGGTTGTGTCGGAGGATCCAGGGGAGCAAGCCTCAGGGCAGTAACAGCATTTCTGTTGGATATCAGCTTCCGTTACATCAGCCTAGCCAGGTGGTACAAACGTCACGTACTGTGCCAGGTGGCACTGTATAGCCAGCCCACCACAACTTGTGTAACCCACTTGCATCCTGGCGTTGTTTACTACAAAACCATCACAAGTTTATCACCAGATGGGCAGGGGTCAGGGTGGGCAGGGCAGGAGGGGACCAAGTTACTGGAAGAGGTTGAGTTGGAGGGAAGTGCCCAGAGCGTCTCGGGCTTCCTGCCAACTGTCTGGGTCCACAGGGATCTTGGGCGCTATCAGAACAGAAGGGGATCAAGGCATACGCCAAAACCAAGGGGGGAGTGTCTCGAGTCTAGACATCCACTCAAGCCAAAACCATGTTCCCACTGCCCGTGCGTAGGCCGAGTGAGCCGAGGCCCATCCTGCGCTCGCCCTGCACCGGCCTGTCCACGTGCGGCCTGTCCATGTGTGGGCCTGTCCACATGCGGGCTTGTCCACGTCAGGCCTGTCCACGTGCGGCCTGTCCACGTGTGGCCTGTCCACATGCGGGCTTGTCCACGTCAGGCCTGTCCACGTGCGGGCCTGTCCACGTGTGGCCTGTCCACGTGCGGCCTGTCCATGTGTGGGCCTGTCCACATGCGGGCTTGTCCACGTGTGGCCTGTCCACGTGCGGGCCTGTCCACGTGCGGCCTGTCCACATGCGGCCTGTCCACATGCGGGCTTGTCCACGTGTGGCCTGTCCACGTGTGGGCCTGTCCACATGCGGGCTTGTCCACGTCAGGCCTGTCCACGTGTGGGCCTCTTGCTGTGAGCTCTCACCACAGACAGAGGGGGAGGCCCTGATCCTACTGCTGGCGCTGGCCACTGACCACTCACCTCTTGGTCCATCAGAGGCAGAAGCCAGCACCACACAGCCCTGGTCACCTCTCACCCATCTGTGCTCCTGGAGAGAAGGCCCCAGGACGCCATGGGCCCAGCACAGGTGCCGGGGGTGTGGCCAGGTCATGCTCAGGGCAGAGCGCGGTCACCAGGGGGACCTCAGATTGCCAATGACCTCTAGCTTCCGGGACGTACCAGTGTTCGGGGAGAGGTGCCAATACGTGTGTATGTGTGATATGTTGTCAGCTGTGTGAACGAGAGGATGTGTGGTGTGTGTGATAGCACGTGTCTGCGTGTAAGTGGCGTGTCACGCATGGGTGTGTGGGATGTGAATGTGCTGAGTGAGGGAAGTGTGACATGCTGCCTGTGGTGGGCCTGGCGTGCACCACACTGTGACGTGGTGTGTGGTATACACCTTAGACGATGTGTTATATGTGGTGGTGTGTGGCGTGCACCAACCGTGAGACGTGGTGTGTGGCTGTCACCACCAGTTGTCACCTTTCCCCTCATCTGTCCTGAACAACAGCTGTGACTCCCCGACCCCAGGGCACCAGTAGGGTGTGTTGGGCACCAGGTGCAGCTGGGTTGGACAGCAGCGCCCGGGCAGGGCCTGCAGGACCCTTGGGCTAACAGCGACGCCCCTGCCTCTCCACAGCACACACACGTCCTGCCTCAGACCTGGTGTCCACGCGGGATGGGGGTGTCCGGAGCCCTGCAGGCCACCTGGAGAAGGTGAGGCCCCATCCGTGACACACAGGGAGCCGTAGTGTTTGTGCTCCACTCAGGGAAGCCCTAATGAGTCCCTTTGCTGTGTGCCCTGCCCACTTCTTTCCTGGCTCATGGCACTGTGGCCTGGTCACTGTGTGTCCACCGTCCTGGCCACTGTACACATTGTTGATGACATAGCCTGAGCAGGAATTCGGGGTACCCAGGGGCACACATGTGGACCTTCCCAGGTGTACAAAGGGGCACATGTGTGAACCATCCCAGAAGCACACAGGAGCACACAGGCGGGCCATCCCAGGTGTACAAAGGGGCACACGTGTGGGCCATCCCAGGTACACATAGGGGCACACATGTGGGTCTCTTCACCCTTGCCTTTTGTCCCCGTCTCCAGGGAGGCCTGAAGGGACAGAAGGGGGAGCCAGGAGCTCAGGGTCCGCCTGGCCCGGCTGGCCCTCAGGGTCCTGCAGGCCCAGCGGCCCGGAACTCTGATGGGCTGCCTGTCCCGGGGGCACAGGGGCCTCCTGGGCCACCAGGGCTGCCAGGGAAGGACGGCGAGCCGGTGAGTGCTTGTCTCCATGTCTGGAAGTTGGGGCTCTGTGAGGGGGATGGCATCGGGGTGGGGACCCAGAATGTGGCGGGAGCTGGTGGAGGCGGGGTGCACTACCTGGTGCAGCAGAGACCCTCACGAAGGTGCTGTCTGGGGGCTCTGCTGTGTAGGTGGGCCTGCTGGGCAGCTGCGTCCCCTGATGTGGTTCAGGGGCAAGGCTGACCACCATCACTGAAGCTGTTCTTGCACTTTTCCAGGGCGACCCCGGCGAAGACGGGAAGCCTGTAAGTTTGCTACTCGCGAGGTGTGCACAGGCCCTGGCTTTGCGCCCCAAGACGGCAGAGCATGCAGCTGCTTGGCAAAGGGGCTGAGGCAGGAGCTAGGGAGAATGACAGGGCATGTGGAGCCGGGCCGGGCAGGGATCGTGGGGGCAGGCGCACCTTGGAGGTGCCTCCCGGGCCGGGCTGGGAGCGTGGGGGGCAGGCGTGCTGGGCTGGGAGCGTGGGGGCAGGTGCGCCTTGGAGGTGCTCACCTGGAGAGCCCTCGTGTGACCACACATGGAGAGCCGGGCCCAGGGCAGTCCCATGTGAATCATCTCAGCCCCATTTCTGTCATGGGAAACTGAGAATCACTGTTGCCAAGCACCCCGCCCCCCCCCCCACATCACACACATCACCGTGCAACATACATGCACAGCACTACCCATGTGCTGTAAGGACATATCACATGTGTGTGCATCGTCGTGTATGTGTGAACACGGAACACACGTGTGCACGTGCAGCCCCTCATGTGTAGCGCACACACATTGACAGCCAGGTGCCGCTCTTTGTGGGGTCACTGGTGGGCACTGCTGATATGAGGGGTGGGTCACACGGTGGTCCTGGATCCTCTGGGAGGGGCCCCGCTCTGCCGGCCTGTGCCCGGGATGCATGGGACCCTCATGGGTCCTGCTCTTGTCTTCCAGGGTGAAGCCGGGCCACAAGGTTTCCCGGGGACTCCAGGAGACGTGGGCCCCAAGGGCGAAAAGGTGTGTGGTGTCTCCGTTGCTGCTGCCCCGGGGTGCCTTGTGCCCGCCGTGTGACAGCCTTGCCTTTTGTTCCAGGGGGACCCTGGGGTTGGGCCGAGGGGACCTCCAGGACCCCAAGGACCTCCAGGGCCACCAGGACCTCCATTCAGACACGACAGACTGGTAAGTCGCACCTTCGCCGCTCCTGCAGGAGCCAGGGGCACGCCGGGCAAGACAAGGGCAGGGCTGTGGACGCTGGCCGGCCAGGGCCTCAGGCCTCTGTCTTGCCCACAGACCTTCATCGACATGGAAGGATCTGGCTTTGGGGGTGACCTGGAGACGCTTCGGGTGAGTGCTGGGGTTGGGGGAAGACTCAGCCGATGTCCCCTGGCACCTGTGGAGCAGGTACCCACGGGGACGGGGATGAGGCCCTGTGTCTGTCTCCCTGTGCAGGGTCCTCGTGGCTTCCCCGGACCCCCTGGCCCTCCTGGCGTCCCAGGCCTGCCGGGCGAGCCAGGCCGCTTTGGTGTGAACAGCACTCACACCCCGGGCCCTGCAGGCCTCCCCGGAGTGCCTGGGCGAGAGGGGCCCCCTGGTGTCCCTGGCCCCCCGGTAAGTCGGTGCTCCCCTCACACTCACTGCCCTGTCTTGCCCTCCACCTCCCTCCACCCCTGTCGGGAGGGGCAGCCTGGGCCATGGCATGCTGACCAGCTGGAGAAACTGATCAACCTTTTTGGGGTCTCCAAGTGGCTCACTGATGACAGGAAGTCAGGGCCACCACAAGGGGTACCCAATGTCCCTGGGTTCCCGGTGCCAGCCCCAGTGCCAGGACTCTCCCTGCCATGTGTCTGTAAGCATGTGAGATGTGTACCCACGCCGGGGTTGCCCCTGCCAGGGGTCCTGCTGCACACACGTGTGCTCCAGCACAGCCAGCCTCAGTCCCTGGCCCCACACTCCTCCCAGGGTGGCCTTGATGGCCCTGCCATGGGTGCCTGCCCCGATACCCTCCCAGCAGTGTTTGACTAACAACTGAAAAACCAAAGAACAGAAGTGACCTAGGAAAAGAAGCTGGTGCCGTGTGCTGAGCGTGTCCCGTGTGCTAAGCGTGTCCCGTGTGCTGAGCCTGTCCCGTGTGCTGAGCGTGTCCCGTGTGCTGAGCGTGTCCCGTGTGCTGAGCGTGTCCCGTGTGCTGAGTGTGTCCCGTGTGCTGAGCCTGTCCCGTGTGCTAAGCGTGTCCTGTGTGCTAAGCGTGTCCCGCGTGCTGAGTCTGTCCCGTGTGCTGAGCCTGTCCCGTGTGCTAAGTGTGTCCCGTGTGCTGAGCCTGTCCCGTGTGCTAAGCGTGTTCTGTGTGCTGAGCCTGTCCAGTGTGCTAGGCTGTGTTCTGTGTGCTGAGCCGTGTTCTGGTTGCTATGGCTGGGTCTCCCATGGGCTGTCCCATGTCCCTGTGTGTCAGGCTCCTGAGGTGCCCATGAGTGACCATGTCCTGGGACCAACACTCTGCTTTCTTCCCACACAGGGACCCCAAGGTCCCCCAGGAAGGGAGGGGCAGCCAGGAGCGCCGGGACCAAAAGGCAACCTTGTGAGTGACCGCTGGGCGGGGAGGGGGTGGGGCTGGGAGCACCTCCTGGGGGTCCGTGCCCTCCAGAGAGGGGCAGTGTTAGCAGGAGGGACACCCGAGACAGCTGCACCTGTGGCTCTGGGGTGGGGGCTCCCTGTAGGGGGACGACAAGGGCTGCGGAGTTCATCCACTGGTTCTGACCTCACGTGATCTCTTCTTTCCCTTCAGGGCGATGTGGGCGCCCCAGGACCCAAGGTACACACTCCGGCCTCGCATCCTCGCGACACAGCTGTCTGCTGGGGAGACGTGTCCAGGCACTGTGTGGCAATGGGCAGCTAGCCCACAGCCCAGGGGCTGACCAAGGCCTCTGCTGGGGAAGAGGGCAGGGCTTATGTGGGTGGGGTGTAGGCTTGGGACAGACCCAGGGTGACACGCACGGAAGGAAGGGCGCCCTGCCTTGGCCACCAGGTTGCCCAGTGGGAGCTTGCACACCCAGGTACCTGCCCCTAACGGGCCTGCCCTCCCGGCTCATGGCCTGCTTGGAGACCTTCACCCAGCTTCTCCTGGGAAGGAGAGGGGCTTCCTAGAGACCAGGGCGGGCCCCTAACGACAGGCAGACCCCTCCCCAGTGGACAGCCCCCCATCCTGTCCAGGACATGGGACTGGATAGGCAGCAGCTAGAAACTTACCCACTACTGTAGGGGCAGGGAGGGGTGCAAAGGGAAGGAGGCATGGCTAAGGATTGGGGAGCTGGAAGAAAAGGTGGGGTGCCGGGGTTCCTAAAAGAGGGTTTAAGGTAAAAACATGAGCATGTGTGCACACAGGTACAGGTCAGCGAGCGTGCACAGGCCTGTGGCCGTGCGTCCTGAGCAGAGGGCTCCGCCGGGGGACTGGCCTGCACTGGGCCCCCTGCTCGCCTCCCAAGGCGCCGGGCTCCCTGCCTCTCACTCCCTGAGCGACCGCATGTCGTCCTTGTGGCCATGCTGTGCCCTGAGGTCCCTCAGAACCTGTGTGCACTCTGCCCCTAGCCCTGCGGTGGCCAGGACCTGTACCCTCCCCTGGCTGTCCTCAGCCTGTTCTTTCCTCTCTCCTCCCGGCCTCGCTCCTGGCAGCTGCCCACCCTTCCTCACCTGCTCCACCTGCTCCTGGCTCCCCGGGCCGGAGGTAACGGCCATGTGTGAGCATGCTGATGTGTTGCACGCTCTCCTCAACCACTTGCCCTCCTGAGCTCCAAGCTGGCTCGGCTCCGGGCTACCCAGTGTGCGTTCGCCAGGGGGCACGACCACTGGCTAGCAGTGCCCTCTTTCCTTCCCTGCAGGGCAGCAAGGGGGACCCCGGCCCCGTGGGTAGCCCAGGCGAGACTGGCTTCGTGGGAGCCCCAGGGCCTGCTGGACCTCAAGGACCCCCCGGACCCCCAGGGCCCCCTGGGCCTCCAGGACCAGGACTTGCGGCTGGATTTGTGAGTGTGTGACCCTGGGAAGCTGTCAGCTACCCCGTGCTCCCCTCCCTGCCCCAATCCTGATGTCTCCGGGGGGCAGGTCGCAGGTGCCAGCCCTGTTGGTGCTGTTCCTACACAGGACTCCACTCTCCAGCGAGGCCCAGCAACCACACATGGGGCCTCCCCCGTGGCACCTGCCCTGTGGCTCAGCAATCTTGTTTCTCTCTCCCAGGAAGACATGGAAGGCTCCGGGGTTCCCTTCTGGACAACAGCCGGAAACTCCGAGGGGCGGCAGGTACCTACAGCAGGGCCTGGGCAGTGGGGCGGGACGCCCCCTGTGAGTGTGGGGAGTCCCAGGACAGAAGCCACCTTTCCAGAATAGGGGTGCCATGTCAGCCAGGCTCAGACATCTGCCCTGGGGACCCCGTCATCACTTCATTCTGTGACTGTGGGTTTAAGAGCAGGAGACACATGATAGAATGCGTGTGGAAGGCGTTCCCTGTCTTACTGTTTTGTGTGCACAGTGACACGTCTGGGAATTCTGACACACATGTGGGAGAGAAATTGTCTTGGGTGAATGCTGACAGGTGTCAGGGAGACGCTCTGTTTGTCTTCCGGGCACGTGCGAGGCCCTTGTGTCTGGGTGGAGGCCTGGTGGCTGATAGCCATGGCCTTCGCGACGTGGCTCCCGCCTGGCCCTGCAGCAGCCTGGACGGACCCTGGTCATGGCCTGGATAGATCCTGGTCACAGCCTGGATGGACCCTGGTCACGACCTGGATGGATCCTGGCCACAGCCTGGACGGACCTTGGTCACGGGCTGGACGGACCCTGGTCACGGCCTGGATGGACCCTGGTCACGGCCTGGACGGGCCCTGGCCACGGCCACTCTGGCACGAAAGCAGATCTCTGTTTAATCAGTGTTTGTACACAGCAGATGGGGGCACCTCTGAGGCCCCCCTGAGGTCAGCCTGAGGGACATGTCAGGGACCACTGCCTCCTGAGGGAGCCCACACACATGGCCTTGAGCCCAGCATGCAGTTCCCCTAGGAGACTGGCCAGTGAAGGGTATGGGGGCAAGACGAATGAGAACTTAGGGCCTGAGCCTGCCAGGTGGACTCTGCCCCAGTGTAGCTTGGTACCATGCCTGTGGCAGCTGGCAGCCTGGTGGACAGAGGAGGAGGCCCCGGGGGTCCCAGCCACGCCGCCATGCGTGGTCCTGGCTGTTAGTTCCTTGAGGTGCTGGTGCTCCCTGTTTGGGTCGGCCTGGGCCAGCTTGTGCTAATGCCAAGGATGACAGAGAATGTCCTAGCGCGTGGCAGAGACCACACCCACTTGTACCCACTTGGTGGGTCTCCTGCCCGCCCCTGTGGGAATTGCAGCTCCAGGGAGGGCTCCTGGGGACATGGTGCCTTCCAGGGGGGCTGGCCACACTCACGTCTCATTCCTTTACCCTGGCAGGGACTGCCCGGAGCCCCAGGACTCAAGGTCAGTAAGGAAGCAGTCCCTGGCCCCTTATGACCCATGCCACCCCCAGACAGCTGATTGGACTGGGAGGACCACCCAGGCTCTGCAGCCACCCACATCCATGGCTCCCAGCCGTGTCCAGCCCCCGGGCTGCAGGTGCCCCCTGGGGCGTTGGGGGAAGCCCAGCTGTTAGGGAGCTGCTCCTGCGGCTGCCCGTCACCCAACTGGACCCTGTGCTCAGAGCTTGGGGCACCAGAGATGTATCCTAGCCGATGAGGGGGGACTGGCATGGGCAGTGCCCTGGGTAGCCACCCTGTACCCCTCAGAATCTCTATCCTACTTAGGGGGACCCTGGAGCAGATGGGAGACCAGGGCCCAAGGTAAGCTCCTTTGTAGCATTCTGGAGTCAAGGTGGGGGAGGGGAGGGTCCCTTAGCCCTGTAAGGGGGTGCAGCTGGTCAGGGGGTGCCCACGGCTCAGAGCCCACCTTGTCTCTCACAGTTGAAGACCCTGCCCATCCTTGCTGAGTCCCGTGCAGATCTCTGGGGCACACCCGGTCCCCCACCTGCCCCCTACCTCTTGTCCTTGCTTGCCCACAGCCTCCCCTCCAGTGCTCAGAGCCCCTGACCACCGGACACCGGGGCCGTGGGGTCATGTCCATGAGCACCGTGGCTGCCTCCTGGGCTCGTGTGGCTGATGCTACTTCCTGTCTTTTCAGGGAGAAGTCGGTGCAGATGGCGCCCCTGGCTTCCCAGGCCTCCCCGGGAGAGATGGCGCTTTGGGACCCCCGGTGAGTGGGTGCCAAGATGGCTGAGACCCCAAGGGGCTCCCCAGGGCTGACTCCTTCACCCCCACATCTTCCCTGTATCTGGGGTCTCCTGAGGGGAGGTTCCAGCTCCATTTCTGACAAACTAGTTCCCTCCTGTCTCTGCAGGGACCCAAGGGAGAAAAGGGAATCCAGGGAGAGAAAGTAAGTGGGGGCCTGGGGGGGTGGGGGGCCCTGGGGGAGACTGGGGGAAGTGGAGGGGCCTGGGGGGGTGGTTTGAGGGCCCTGGGAAGACTGGGGGGAGTGGGGGTGCCTGGGGTGGTGGGGGGCCCTGGGGAAGACTGGGGGGAGTGGAGGGGCCTGAGGTGTTAGAGGGCCCTGGGGGAGACTGGGGGGAGTGGAGGGGCCTGGGGGGGCGGTTTGAGGGCCCTGGGAAGACTGGGGGGAGTGGAGGGGCCTGGGGTGGTAGGGGGCCCTGGGGAAGACTGGGGGGAGTGGAGGGGCCTGAGGGAAACTGGGGGGACTGGGCGACCTGGGGGCCTGAGGGAGGTCTGGGCAGGCTGGGGGAGTTGGGGGGCCTGGGGCAGACTAGGGGTAGGGGGTGGGAGCAGTGCTGTCCACTCTATGCTCTCCTGCCAGCCATGTGGCCCCAGAGCTGGGCCCTGAGACCCCCAGTCAGCCGCAGGGCTCCAAGCTGGAATGCAGTGTGGCTGGGAAGGTCTCCAGAACCTGTGGGGTCCTGGCCAGAACTGGGCTGACAAGTGCTTTGTCTCGCAGGGAGACCCCGGGAAGGATGGGGTAGGGCAGCCGGGCCTGCCCGGGCCCCCTGGACCCCCCGGGCCTGTCGTCTACCTGTCGGAGCAGGATGTAAGGACGCTGCGGTGGGCACTGGCGGAGGGTGGGTGGTGACCCTCAACCACACGGCCCCGATGCCCACGCTCTTGGGGGTGGAATGGTCGGCCACGGCAGGATGTGTGACCTGCCGGCGGAGTTCCGCCTCCCACCCCTCCAGGCAGGCACAGAAGCCATAGGGTGGATGTGCAGCCGCCAGCCCCAGGGGCCTCTGTGTCACATCAGGCCCTGCTGCTCGTGCGCAGGGTGCGTGGAGGGCAGGCAGGCGGCAGAGTTGCGTGGGCGCCGCCAGGATGTGACTTGGCCCTGGCCTGGGGGCTTCCTGCAGCGGGACATGGGGCATCTTTAAATGTGACTATTTCTTCCTCCTTTCTGCCGGGCTGCCACCAGCGAACTGTGATGGGCCGGCCAGGACCTGAGGTGCGTGCCCCACCCCCGCCCGAGACCCCGGGTCTGGGCCTTCCAGCCACCCCAAGGGCACAGTGACGTGAACCCTCTTGTCTGTCCTCTCTCCACAGGGCCAGCCTGGCTTCGCAGGCCTTCCTGTAAGTAGGCCCACATGGGAGCTGCCCCTTGCCCCCCATCCCTGCACCGAGAGTTTGGGGAGCTGGGGAGGGCGTTCCTTCTGTCTTTGTGGGACCCATGTAGAGCTGAAGTGGCCCTAGGATAGGGGATGCCACTAGAAGCCCCTGCTGGCCCAGCCAGAGCCAGGTGGCCCCTGGGGTCTGCCCCAGGGCAGGGACTGGTCAGGGTTGTGGGTGAAGGACAGCCCTGTGCTCTGATTGGCCATGGCGTCAGCCGGGGTGGAGGAGAGGGTGTGCGGTCAGGGCCACAGATCAGACAGGCCCCCCACCCTTCCCTGACTCACTCACAGGGACCTGCTGGACCGAAGGGCGACCTGGGCTCCAAAGGCGAGCAGGGCCTGCCAGGACCCAAGGTGAGTGTGGCAGGGGCAGGCTCTCCCAGGAGGGCGCTGGTCCCTGCGAGGGGCCTCATGCGCTGGAACCCCTGTGCCTGCCATTCCAGGGTGAGAAGGGTGAGCCTGGCAGCATCTTCAGCCCCGACGGCAGAGCCCTGGCCCCCGCCCAGAAAGGAGCCAAGGTGAGGAGAGTGAGGGGCCGGGCCCGTGAGACCACAACAGTCAGGGGCCGGGCGCGTGAGGCGGTGAGGGAGCCAGGGGCTGGGCGCGTGAGGTGGTGCGGGAACCGGGGCCGGGCGCGTGAGGCGGTGAGGGAGCCAGGGGCCGGGCGCGTGAGGCGGTGAGGGAGCCAGGGGCCGGGCGCGTGAGGTGGTGAGGGAGCCAGGGGCTGGGTGCGTGAGGCGGTGAGGGAGCCAGGGGCTGGGTGCGTGAGGCGGTGAGGGAGCCAGGGGCTGGGTGCGTGAGGCCGCAGCCAGGGTCTAGGCCTTGTCCTCCCCCAGGGGGTGCTGGAAGCTTCTATAGCCAGGATCCAGATGGCCCCTCTCTGCCCACCTCTGACAGTCACACTCAGAGACTGGGTCCAGTGCCCACTCTGCCTGGCCCTCAGCTACCTGAAGGGGCCAGGTTGTTGCCTACATCCTTCCTCTCTTGGGGTCTGTACTCCATGTGCTGACCTGGACACAGACCCCAGCCTAGAACCTTCTCTGTGGCGCCCCTTATCCTCCACTGTTGGGAGATGGAGAGGGCGGGGCCTCATGCTCTGCTTGTTTCCTACAGGGCGAGCCTGGCTTCCGTGGACCCCCGGTGAGTAGGCCCCTCATGTCCTTTGGGCTAGGGCCACCCTGGTGGGCTAGCTGCAAGGGCTCTGCACTGCCCTGCAGCACATTGACCACCCTCGGGTGGTCCCCATTGTGGGGCCCCAGTGGCCACTGCTCACCCAGGCTCCTCCCTGCAGGGCCCGTACGGACGTCCTGGTCACAAGGGCGAGATTGGCTTCCCTGGACGGCCGGTGAGCTTGGGGGTGTGTGGGGGGCGGTCCAGCTGAGGGGACATTCCAGGCCTTTCCTGGGGGCGGAGGCCACGGGTCCTGCCCTTGTGCCCAAGTTTCTGCAGGGCAGGAGCCCAGGGAACCCACAGTCTATTGTGTGCCCTGCCCCAGGGACGCCCCGGGATGAACGGGCTGAAAGGAGAAAAGGGCGAGCCGGGAGACGTGAGCGTCGGGTTTGGAATGAGGGTGAGTGTCCGGCCGGGCAGAAGGCGGGCTCCTGCAGCTCCACCATGGGGGCTGACCGAGAAGCCCACGTGTGGCCATGCCAGGCAGTGTCCGTGTGTGTCCACACCCCCAGTGTGTGCGCCCTCTGTGAGTGCGTGTGTGTACACCCTCAGTGTCCGTGTGTGTACACCCTCAGAGCGCGTGTGTATACACCCTCAGTGTCCGAGTGTGTACATGCCTCAGTGTCCGTGTGTACATGCCTCAGTGTCCGTGTGTGTACACCCTCAGTGTCCGAGTGTTTACATGCCTCAGTGTCCGAGTGTGTACACCCTCAGTGTCCGAGTGTTTACATGCCTCAGTGTCCGTGTGTACACCCTCAGTGTCCATGTGTGTACATGCCTCAGTGTCCGTGTGTGTACACCCTCAGTGTCCGTGTGTGTACACCCTCAGTGTCCGTGTGTGTACACCCTCAGTGTCCGAGTGTGTTCATGCCTCAGTGTCCATGTGTGTACACCCTCAGTGTCCGTGTGTGTACACCCTCAGTGTCCGTGTGTGTACACCCTCAGTGTCCGAGTGTTTACATGCCTCAGTGTCCATGTGTGTGTGCACCCTCAGTGTCCGTGTGTGTACACCCTCAGTGTCCGTGTGTGTGCACCCTCAGTGTCCGTGTGTGTACATGCCTCAGTGTCCGAGTGTGTACACCCTCAGTGTCCGAGTGTTTACATGCCTCAGTGTCCGTGTGTGTACACCCTCAGTGTCCGTGTGTGTTCATGCCTCAGTGTCCGTGTGTGTACACCCTCAGTGTCCGAGTGTGTTCATGCCTCAGTGTCCGTGTGTGTACATGCCTCAGTGTCCGTGTGTGTACATGCCTCAGTGTCCGTGTGTGTGCACCCTCAGTGTCCGTGTGTGTGCACCCTCAGTGTCCGTGTGTGTACACCCTCAGTGTCCGTGTGTGTACACCCTCAGTGTCCGTGTGTACATGCCTCAGTGTCCGTGTGTGTACACCCTCAGTGTCCGTGTGTACACCCTCAGTGTCCGTGTGTACACCCTCAGTGTCCGTGTGTGTACATGCCTCAGTGTCCGTGTGTGTACATGCCTCAGTGTCCATGTGTGTACATGCCTCAGTGTCCGAGTGTGTACACCCTCAGTGTCCAAGTGTTTACATGCCTCAGTGTCCGTGTGTACACCCTCAGTGTCCATGTGTGTACATGCCTCAGTGCCCGTGTGTGTACACCCTCAGTGTCCGTGTGTGTGCACCCTCAGTGTCCGTGTGTGTACATGCCTCAGTGTCCGAGTGTGTACACCCTCAGTGTCCGAGTGTTTACATGCCTCAGTGTCCGTGTGTGTACACCCTCAGTGTCCGTGTGTGTTCATGCCTCAGTGTCCGTGTGTGTACACCCTCAGTGTCCGAGTGTGTTCATGCCTCAGTGTCCGTGTGTGTACATGCCTCAGTGTCCGTGTGTGTACATGCCTCAGTGTCCGTGTGTGTACATGCCTCAGTGTCCGTGTGTGTGCACCCTCAGTGTCCGTGTGTGTGCACCCTCAGTGTCCGTGTGTGTACACCCTCAGTGTCCGTGTGTGTACACCCTCAGTGTCCGTGTGTACATGCCTCAGTGTCCGTGTGTGTACACCCTCAGTGTCCGTGTGTACACCCTCAGTGTCCGTGTGTACACCCTCAGTGTCCGTGTGTGTACATGCCTCAGTGTCCGTGTGTGTACATGCCTCAGTGTCCATGTGTGTACATGCCTCAGTGTCCGAGTGTGTACACCCTCAGTGTCCAAGTGTTTACATGCCTCAGTGTCCGTGTGTACACCCTCAGTGTCCATGTGTGTACATGCCTCAGTGCCCGTGTGTGTACACCCTCAGTGTCCGTGTGTGTGCACACTCAGTGTCCGTGTGTGTACACCCTCAGTGTCCGAGTGTTTACATGCCTCAGTGTCCGTGTGTGTACACCCTCAGTGTCCGTGTGTGTACATGCCTCAGTGTCCGTGTGTGTACACCCTCAGTGTCCGTGTGTGTACACCCTCAGTGTCCGTGTGTGTACACCCTCAGTGTCCGTGTGTGTACACCCTCAGTGTCCGAGTGTGTACATGCCTCAATGTCCATGTGTGTGCACACTCAGTGTGTACATGCCTCAGTGTGTGCCCTCTGTGCACGTGTGTGGCTGCATACACAGTGTATGTACACCCACATGTACAGCTACACACGTGTAGGCACACACATAACCGCAGCCCACCAGGACCAGGGTATTTGAAGTGTTTCTCCTGCTGTGGCTCCCCTCACCCCGTGAGGTGGCTCTGCTCCCCTTGCCCCTCTGCTCCCCTCACCCCGTGAGGCGGCTCTGCTCCCCTTGCCCCTCTGCTCCCCTCACCCCTCTGCTCCCCTCACCCCGTGAGGCGGCTCTGCTCCCCTCGCCCCCCTGCTCCCCTCACCCCATGAGGCGGCTCTGCTCCCCTCGCCCCTCTGCTCCCCTCGCCCTGTGAGGCGGTGCTGCTCCCACCATGTGGTGTCATCTCACTGGCTGAGAGCTGGGCTCAGGGCAGGCCTCACTTAGGTATAAGGGCAGGTGCGATCGCCGTGCCCTCAGGAGCAGGCTCCTCTCTGGGGCCCCTGCCAGGCAGCTGCTGTTGCTGAGTGCCGGGACCGGCAGTGGTGCTGGCCAGTGGCTCCAGTCCTGACACCTCCAGTCCTGGCTTCGCACTGCCCATCCAGCTTGAGCTGGTCCTCAGGCGGGCGGCCATCCTTGAGCATGCTGCCAGCGCCGGAGGAACCCACACAGGCCAACGCCCTTTTGTAGTGGGGAGTTCCACGGCTGTCCAGGAACCCCCATCTGGGTGCTCAGGGACTACGTCCGCCTGCCATTTTCTGTCAAGGACCTTCGGCTCCATGGCTGAGTGATGCTTCCAGCCACGTGAGCCACCGGCCTGGGTCAGGCGCCTGCTGTGACCCTGCCTAAGCCCACTTCCCACCTCCCACAGGGACCGCCTGGCCCCCCAGGCCCCCCGGGACCGCCAGGCCCACCCGGGACGCCCGTCTATGACAGCAACGTGAGTCATCGTGTTCCCCTCCCCGTGCCATCTGTGGTCCTGGGGGAGGGGCTGTCGGGCAACTGCATGGGGCAGTGGCTGAGAACAGGGACCCTCAACAGCAGGGGCTGGGCAGGGCAGCTCTAGGGGCTGTGTCCTATTCACACGGAGTGCCTGGGCCCAGGGGGCAGGGCTGAGAGGGCATCGCCACGGGCCCAGTAAGGTGAGGCGGCCCTAGGGGCAGGTGACCAGGGCTCCTTACCCCAGTCCACATTCCCCACTCCTATGTCGGGTAAGGTAGAGGAGGGGTGCCAGTGCCCAGTGTGGGGGAAGGGTACCAGTGGGGCCTGTGTGTTAGCCCCATGCCTCTCCCGGCAGGTGTTCGCCGAGTCCAGCCACCCCGGGCCTCCAGGACTGCCAGGTGAGGGCTGCGGGCCTGGGTGCCCCACGGTGGGGACCAGGAGCCACAGACTCTACCGCATGTCTGCCCTGTGCTCGGGCCTCACCCTGGCCCTGTCTCCCAGCCACAGGATCCCCCCACCCCTGCCAGCTGCCTTCTCTTCCCTGGGCCACTGCTCCTACTGGCTCCGGCCCCTCGTCCATCCCTCGCTCTCCCTGGGCCAGTCCCACCCCATTACCCAGCACCCCTCGGGGTGAGAGGGCCCACGTCGACCACTCCATGAAGGGCACAGAGTCTCTCCCTGCAGGCCTCCAAGGACCCCCAGGACCCAAGGGTGACAAGGGAGAAGTAGGACCGCCTGGACCAGCAGGTGAGCCCTGGGTGTGACCCTTGACCTTCGTCTTCCCTGACCACATCCGGGTGGACACCTGGTCGGCCTCATAGCTGGACACAACCCAGCAGGCTGAGATGGGACAGCACCCTGTGCATTGTCCTCAATGTCCCTCCCACCCTCTGGGCTGGTCCCAGAGGGGTCGGCTGAACCCTCTGTCCTCATCTGGGCCCCAGGCACTGACCACGCTGAGGGGACATCTGAGCCCTGCAGGGTCGCAGCCACCGCCTCCCAGGGCAGCAGCAGCATAAACAATACAGCTGGTCCCTAAGGCTGCAGTGGGAGGGCAGTGGGCAGGGAGCAGGTGGATACATGGAAACAGCAGTGATGTGGTGGGGTCAGAGGCCACACCACCCGCGGTCCCCAAGAAAGTAGACATGGATGTGACCGGGGTGGGGGCAGGCACGACTTGAATGAAGGTGAGTGTCTTCTGTCCAGTGTGTGCCTAACCCTTTGAGGCCTTTCCCAAGTGGGTGGGCGGGAGCTCCATGGCGAGACCCCAGCCCCTGTCCCACTCTCCCTCTGCAGGGCAGTTCCCCTTTGACTTCATTCAACTGGAGGCCGAGATGAAGGTGCGTGACGTCATGGTCAGACCCAAGACGGGTGGAGAGAGGAGGGCAAGCAACCCAGGTCCCAGAAGTCCGTGGCGGGCAGCAGGCACCTGGCAGGTGCGTGGCACTGGGCAGCTGGACAGCCTTGTCAAACCAGTGTCTCCACCCCCAGGGCACGAAGGGCGACCGAGGCGCCCCGGGACAGAAAGGCGAGAGAGGCGAGCCTGGGGCCGGCGGCTTCTTTGGCTCCAGTGTGCCTGGTCCCCCGGGGCCCCCTGGCCCCCAGGGCTACCCCGGGATTCCGGTAAGATTGGTGCTGGCCAGCCTGAAGCCCGTGGGGCCGGCCCACAGATACCCCAAGCAAGGGCAGTCCTGCTCAGCCACCTGGGGTATACCTGGAGAGGGGTGGGGAGGTCTGAGTGGGGCTCTCCCAGGGTGCCAGCCCACACCTGTCAGGGACTTGGCAGGCATGCCAACCCCCTGCCTGGGCTCCTGCACCCCATGCAGCCTGCTTTGCCCTTGTTCTTAGGGTCCCAAGGGAGACAGCATCCGGGGCCCGCCAGGCCCCCCTGGGCCTCAGGGCCCCCCTGGCATCGGCTACGAGGGACGGCAAGGCCCTCCTGGCCCCCCCGGACCCCCTGGTCCCCCCTCCTTTCCTGGCCCTTACAGGCAAAGTAAGTTGCTGTGAGTGCCGGGGGGCCTCCCTACCCCCACACACCCGGGAATCCTGCTGGGCCTGACCATTTCTCTCCCACAGCTGTCAGCATTCCCGGCCCCCCTGGCCCGCCGGGACCCCCAGGACCCCCTGGAACTGGGGGTGCCTCCTCAGGGGTAAGTGTCTTGGGGCTGAAGGAGGGGATGGCCAGGGCCAGGCCTGAGAGTTGAGTGACAGGTCTGGGGCTTCCTTGCCTCAGGCAGTCCTGGGGCCCACACAAGGTTGTGCCCTGCAGGTGAGGGTGTGGGCCACCTACCAGACCCTGCTGGACAAGGTCCGCGAAGTGCCCGAGGGCTGGCTCCTCTTTGTGGCCGAGACGGAGGAGCTCTACGTCCGTGTGCGCAATGGGTTCCGGAAAGTTCTGGTGAGTGCCAGCAGCCTGGCAGGGGTGACACTGGGCTGTCAGAGAGCTGCGGCAGCGGTGGGGCTGTCACAGGTGTCCACTTCTGCCCTGCGAGGTGCCTGACTCCTAGGTGTCCCCGGCTCTAGCATGCAGAGGCCACTGTGGACAGCATCGGAGTCACTCGGGCGGGGCCTCATTCCAGGGGCACACCTGCTGCTTGACCCTGCACCCCCAGAGCAGCCCCGGGCTCCAGGTGGAGGTTCTGCACACCCTGCCAGCCTCCGTCAGTACCGGAGGCCTCCCTCCCTGGCCCCTGCACATTCCCACCAACCCCTTACCTGGCCAGGCCAGCATAGGGCTGTGTCTGAGAGCCAGGCGTGCGGCCGTGAGCTGCCAGGGTGGGAGCACTTGGGCAGGCAGCAGAAAGCCCTGGCCACTTGGAGCTCACCCAGTGACCCTGCCCTCTCCTTCCAGCTGGGGCCACGGACGCCACTTCCCCACGGGACGGTAAGGATGTCAGGGGCAAGGAGGGAGGAGGGGGGCAGCTGCCCCAGCCCTGGCCTGTTCTCCTTACTGGTTCCCACTGCACCCCTCCCCCCCCACACACACCCTCCTGTGGTTGATCTAGGAACAGGACGGGGCTGGGATCTGACCCTGAGAGTGGGCAGGGGCTCCTGGGACAGGCCCAGGTCACCCTAACCCCAGGAGTGGGTGCAGCTCCCTGCTTGCTGTCCGCCAAGCACTCCAGGGAGCCAGCAGGCTCAGGCGGAATGCCACTATGTCCATGGGCTCCCCGGCTGCTCCCTCCACAGGACAACGAGGTGGCCGCCCTACAGCCCCCAGTGGTGCAGCTGTATGAGGGCAACCCGCACCCCCGGCGGGAGCAGGTCCACTCCACAGTGCGGCCCTGGCGAGCTGACGACATCCTGGCCAACCCCCCATACCTGCCAGACCCCCGGCCCTACCCCGGAGCCCCTCGCCACGGCTCCTACACGCACCTACAGCCCGCCCGCCCCACGGCCTCACCTGAACACACCCACCAGGACTTCCGGCCGGTGGTGAGTTCCCACAGTGGACGCAGGTCGTCCCGGCCCCTCTGCCCTCTGGGCCATCAGGCCCAGGCAGAGGACAGTGAGCACATCTCAGGAGGGCAGCCAGGCCAGCTGGACCCAGCCTCTCACAGGGTGGGGTGTCAGGAGCACACACGGGGTCACCTCCTGGGCCCACAGCCCCCAGCCCACCCCTGCTGCCCCTGGGCTGGGGGTCTGTGCCCTGCTCACGGGGGCTGGGTGGGCTGTGTGCCCCAGCTGGGCTGTGACAGTGGCGCATTTCCTCCCAGCTCCACCTGGTGGCGCTCAACAGCCCCCTCTCGGGTGGCATGCGTGGCATCCGCGGGGCGGACTTCCAGTGCTTCCAGCAGGCGCGGGCAGTGGGGCTGGCCGGCACTTTCCGGGCCTTCCTGTCCTCGCGCCTGCAAGACCTGTACAGCATCGTGCGCCGCTCCGACCGCACGGGCCTGCCCATTGTCAACCTCAAGGTGTGTGGGGAGAATGGGGGCCAGCCAGCCCGGACTCCCCGTGCCCCGCCCCTATGGCCTGACCGCCCTGCTGTGTCCACACAGGACGAGGAGCTGTTCCCCAGCTGGGAGGCCCTGTTCTCGGGCACCCAGGGCCAGCTGAGGCCTGGGGCCCGTATCTTCTCCTTCGACGGCAGGGACGTCCTGCGACACCCAGCCTGGTAGGTGGTGTGGCCCAGAGCCCCCACGAGCTGGCCTGCTTGGCTGTGCCGTGCCCATCCCCAGGCCTGGACTGAGGGTCATGCGATGGGGGCAGCATGGGAGTGGGGCTGTGTGCACATCAGCTCTGATCCTCATGCTAGATGCTGGTGCTGCCCGCCCAGTCTCCAGCTTCCCACAGAGCGGAACAGATGCCTCCCCAGTGGGCTGGTGCTGCTCCAGGGGGCAGGTGTGGCCAGAACCCCAGCCAGGGATGACCACGGGGAGGGACCAGGCTGAGCCCCACCCTCTCACAGTCCCCACCACTCCCAACCTTGCCTGGCCTGGAGTTGGACTGCTGTGGGTGTGGCTGAAAACCAGCTGCCCCTCCACAGGCCCCAGAAGAGCGTGTGGCATGGTTCAGACCCCAGCGGGCGCAGGCTGACCGAGAGCTACTGCGAGACCTGGCGGACAGAGGCGGCAGGGGCCACGGGCCAGGCTTCCTCGCTGCTGGGCGGCCGGCTGCTGGAACAGACGGCGGCTGGCTGCCACAATGCCTACATCGTCCTGTGCATCGAGAACAGCTTCATGACCTCCTCCAAGTAGAGCCTGGGCGGCCTGGCCACTGGCAAGGGGACAGGCAGGGGGGTCCCCGCAGCCCGGGCCTCAGCCGGGGCTCGTCCCCGTGTGGCTCTCATACCGTGTAACCCTCAAGAAATTAAAGACGCCAAAGAGTGTATTTTTTAAAAACCTCCAGAGCGAGCCTGGTGTGAACTTCCCGCAGCTGCAGCCCTGGCTGGGGCAGGTCTCTAGGCTCAGTGTCCCTACAGCCACGCCCAGGACCAAGGTCGTATGTCCACATGGCACAGGCCACCCTGCCACGCAGACTCATACTGGAGCAGAGCTGACCCAGCCAAGGCCCTGGGAAACTGGCCGTTGGGTTGGCTGTCATGCTGGTCCCTGCCTGGGCTCCCCACAAGAGCCTGGCCCTGTGTACCCAGGTGCCTGGACTGTTCACGCTTGGGGCCGGTGTGAGGTGACCCTGTATAAACCTAACCTGGTCTGCACACTGCACTGTTTGAGAAGGGGGTGGGCATCCCCTAGGTGCCCCAGGCACCTGTCACGCCATCAAGACTCACGCAAGCTCTGCCCCTCACCCCAGACCCAGCACACAGGTGCTCACCACAGAAGGTGCCCACAGGCCCTGACCCCCTGGGGCCACACAGCCCAATGAGGGGAGGGGGCATGAGGGAATGGGAGTCCCAGGAAGGCCCTGCCCTAGTGGCTGGCAAGGGGGGTGTCCCAGGAAAAGGCATCCTAGACCCAAGGGGGCAGTGGGCTGGCATGGGCCTGGCCACAGTAGCTGTGACACAGGACCCCACATGTGGCAGCTTCCTCCTTGACCCAGGGACACTGGAGGGTCACAGTACAAGGGGCTTGGCCCACCCTGGATCCCCCACTGGGAGTGTGTTGAGTGTGGCACCTCCCCCTGCCAGGGCCACAGCTGGGCATGTACAGTCAGAGGGCAGCCAGTCCAGCCCCTTGGCAAAGGGCACGCCTCAGCCCAGGGAGGCCGGAGCAGCGCCCAGTCACTGGGAACGGGAAAAGGCTTGGGGCATGGGGTATGGGACCTGCCTCCTAACAGAGGAGTCCAGTGTGTTCCTGGTTTTATTTAAAAAGACCAGCATGTCGTTCAAGTCGGTACCCGAGGATGTCACGGTTTAGTCATGGTCTCCGGGGCCTGTGCCGAAGTGCCCTGGGCTGGGCTCCATGCAGCGGCAGCCCCGTACGAGGCCAGCCTGTGGCCTCCGGAGGGGCTACAGGAATGTCCTTCCCAGCAAGGGCTCCCTGGTGCCTGGCCAGAGTTGGCCAGGGCCGCCTGCACTGCAGGGAGAGACTGTTCTACAGCTGAGAGTGGGCTGGAGTGTCCCAGAGGGTCAGGCCTTGACCTCACACATGTCCATGCTCCGCTCGGTCCTTGGGGAGCAGGGGCGGGGCAGTGTCCAGCACGCATGGTCCTTGTGGTGGTTTCTCCGGGCTCTGCAGCTCCTGGGCCAGGGGCACCGGTTGGTGGCGGCCATGTGCCACAGGAAGTCCAGCAGGGCCCCTAAGCTGTAGGCGACGGTCAGCACCAGGAAGTACCCGAAGTACACTTTGAACTGCAAGAGAGTGGCCAGGCGGGGGGCTGAGACGCGGCTGCTTCAGCCGTCACTGCCCTGGGCGGCCGCAGACTCCCAGGAGGACCCACGAGGGCGAGCAGAATCCCCAGCGAGCTCAACCTCACACGAAGTACACTCCCCCCCCCCCCCCCCCCCCGTGACCCCACCAGCTCCGGATGGCAGAGCTCCCAGGTGGCGCTCCAGGTCTGGGGCTGGGCCCACGCAACGCAGCACCAACGCAGGACCCTTCCTGAGTTGAGGGAGAGGCACCCCACCGCCTTCGCCAGGCTGCAGGGAGGACACTGCTGGCAGGGCTGGGCTCACCGCAGGGAGGCAGAGATGCATCGCAAAGCCACACGCTGCTCCACACAGAGCAGGTGAACAGGAGCCCTAGACAGACGGCACGGGAGGTCGCGGGGGGCGGCACGGGAGGTCAGCGGGGGCACTCCAGACCTGCTGGTCTGGGTGCCGAGAAACCAGGACAAGCCCACAGCGCCACAGCCTTCCCCACCGCGTGGCTCATCCATGGAAACTGCTACAGGGACACGCTACTGGTTCGTGGGTGAGATGCCACCTCCAGGAGGGAGGGACAGTCAAGGTGCTGGGAGACGAGGCTGTCCCAGCAGATCTGCCAGAAATCGTGGCGGTTCTCTGAACAGAGAAGTCGTGCCAGAGGAAGGACCCGTGCAGCACAAGCCGTGCTGGGACCAGTGTTGGGTGCCATGGCCACACGTGCCTGCCCCACACACGGGGGATGCCCAAGAACGCCATGAGGGGATGAAACCAAAAAGTGACACCATGGTGCTGAACAAGGCGCTCCATGCAGCGTTTCCATGAGCGCTCGGCTGAGCCCTGGGATGGCCAAGGTCGGCCTCGGCAAGCTAGTGTCTGAGCCAGAACCAGACCCAGGCACCCCACTGCTTTCCAGAACCTTCTAACACACCTTTGTCCCACGCGCCAGGGAAGACACGGTGACATCAAATGAGGCAGTATTTCTATATTGCAGATTTCAGGAAACACCAGACGCAGCCACAGGAAATGCACGCCAGGCACGCCACCGTGACACAGGACAGAGGACACGCACCCAACACACACACACCACCCCACACTGCAGCACAGGCAAAAGAAAGGGAAAGACAAATGGCCAACCTGGGCCCTGGAGCCTACTGCGTTAAGCGACAGGACGGGAGTCCGGGAGTGGGCCTCAAGGCCATGCTCTCAGAATAACAAACCAGCGGCAGGAGGAAGGTGGGGGAGTCATCATGGGTCACAGAAATCAGAAAGTAACCCGAAACTCAGCCAAGGGAGATGGTGCTGACTGCTGCCTGTGTGGCTGCGAGAGCCTCCAGCCAGTCACCACAGCTCTCTCTCGAGAACCTTCTAGAAAGTACCAGAAACAAGGAAACCAAGCTGCTGCCTGTGCACTGCAGCAGGAAAGGACCATAGAGCCACATGGCCTGCACATGACAGGGGTGCCCACCTGGGGGCCCGAAGGAACCTACCACGGCCTGCGCATGACGGGGGTGCCCACCTGGGGGCCCGAAGGAACCTACCACGGCCTGCGCATGACGGGGGTGCCCACCTGGGGGCCCGAAGGAACCTACCACGGCCTGCGCATGACGGGGTGCCCACCTGGGGGCCCGAAGGAACCTACAAAATCCTGCCAAGGTAAAGCAGTGAGCATGGCCAGATTGCTAGACCACATGGACACAGTTGGCCACATGGGAGCGTTAACCAAGTGGACACAGCTGAGCACACGAGCACACACCCACTTCTGTGGACCTGGCCCCGCGGGTGCACAGTGGGCCTTAAGGAAGCCCACAGTGGACACCTGTGGAACCGAGGATCGGGGGTCCTGGACTGGTCGGCTCCCCGGGGACTGCAGGATAGTGAGCCAGCGTGAGCTGCCCACTGGCACAGCCATGGCTGACACAGACCCAGGATACACAGCCACACTCCCCACGCCAAGCTGCTCCAGGCACAGCCAAGGCCACAGACTGCGGGCAACACTGCACCCACCTGCCAAGGCCGACGCTGGCTCCAGGGCAAACCCATGAGATGCCTACAGGAACTGCGTGCCACCCCGTGGGAGACCTGCATGGAGCTCCCAGCTGCTGGCTGCAGACCGGCCCAGCCTGGCTACCCTGAGCATCCAGGCAGTGACCTGCAGATGGAAGACGCCCGAGTCTCTCCGCCATTCCAACAGCTAAATAAACTCAAAGCATCGGGAAGAGTTCTCAGGCTCCACACCGTATCATGAGCCACCAGCCAGATCTGAATCCAGTGGGGGAACCCCAGCCAGAGAACAAAGCCCACCCGTAGAGAGAAGTTTCCAGAACACAGAGGCGGACCTCGGAGAGATGAGAGGCAGGGGGGCGGCATGCGCCTCTCCAGGCCAGCAGCTCCGCCTCGACTTCCCACCCAGCTCCCACCAGCGGGCGAGGAGGCGGCGAAGACAGCTTGGGGCCGGGGCTCCTGCACCCACAGAGGGACCCGGATGGAGCTGCTGCCCAGGCCTGGCCACTGCAGCCATTCAGAGTGAATTAATGAATGGAAGAGTTCTCGCCCCCTCTCACCACCCGCCCCCACCAGACACTGTCCTACAATTAAATACGATTTCTCACAAGAAACCAACGGGAGATGAGAGGCAGCAAGTCCCTAAAGATTCCCCATGAAGACAGGAGCCCTTGGAGAGTGTAGGGGTGGGGCACACAGGCGCAGGGCCACCGGGCTGCAGACACACTGGGGTACATATAGAGGTGCAGGGACGCATGTACTGGGGGCACGGAGGGCAGCTGTGCTCCCTGCACGGTCTCAGTGCCCACTTCTGGGCTTGGCCAAGGCATCGCAAGGGCAGTGATCAGGACGCTGGGCCAGCCCCTCTCGCCTGCCAGCTGTCCAGTATGCTTGGCTTCCCACGGGATCAAGCACTGACCCAGCCCAGGTGAAGGCCCCAACGCCTGGCACAGGCTGAGGACGGGGAAGGGCTGACCACCCCCTGAGGAAGACCACCCCCAGGGATAGCCCCTTGGGTCCCTGGCAGCCACTGGCCTCAGGCGGACATGGCAGTCACAGGCCCACACAGGCTGGCCCTCCAGTGTCCTCAGAGTAGCCAGCCCACTACAGGTGCCTGCCAGGTGGACAAGACTGTCTCACCTGGCTGCAGACACCTGCACCCCCTGGTGGCCAGATGGGCAGTGGTGGGCCAGTTGCCACACCCCTCTGTGCTCCCACCTGCTGGCTGCAGCAGCCCTGACCCGACCTCACTGACCCTGCAGGGGTGCATACCAGGGACCCAGAGGCCCACGCCTGGGCCCCGGTGGGCAGCATGAGATGGTGCCTGGCCAGGCAAAGGCGCAGTCATAGCTTATCTACCCAGTGCCCAGGTCAAACCCCATTCATCCTCACTGGCCCAGCGTGGTCCAGCATGGCCCACAGGGCAACCCT